AGCAGAATCCATCTTGGAGAAAAAGGCTGGTAAAATTTGTTAATGCTGACTTCAGGATATCTAGGATTTCACTGTGTGAGTCACCAAGAGCAAAGTTTTCCCCTGAGTAATTTATTTGAGGGATTTTTCCCCTCATTGATATGCTAATGCTTTGCTTTTGCTTTAGTACATTCTTATATCTTTTAAGGAAGTAAAAAGTCAATCCATGATCTTAGCCTGCATATTTTTCACACCTTCTGCAACAGTTCTATGGATTTTTTAAATTCTGCTGAAGGGATACGGTGTTACATATTGCAATATCTATGTAAAGATATTACCTGCTCTGTGATGTTGAAAATCTTTGCTTTTTTAATTTAAAAATGGTTGTTCAGTGTGGAAAATAACCGAGTTTGAGAAGCTACCTTTCCTCATTTTTTTTCTTTTTTAATTTTAGAATGCAGAGTAGTAGATGCATACAGTTATAGGAAAAAAATATAGGAGTAACTTGTTACTGCCCTTATAGTTAAGTGACTTCCATTGGGGATGGAGGAGCTGCAACATGTCCTGCACTGCACCTTTTATTCCCCAGTGAAGAATCCAGTGCACAAGGGACTTGCTTGATGTTCCCAGAACTTTGATTAACCTCTGTAGTGTTGGTCAAATCAGTTCATCTCACCGCGCCGCAGTCTCCCGACCCCAATCGTGACAATATTTTCATTATAAACTGATATGAACTCTGCCTGAGGAGGTTACATATGATCATCAGCTCAGGATCTGCAGGTTTCCCTTCACACAACAGAGCAAATGCTGAAGCAGAACCGTACCTCATCCTTCAAAGTATTTCCATCCTGGTAATAGTACAGTGCGTACAGGGAAGTAACGGTGACAGCATTAAACCAACATCTCCTAGCCAAGGACAGACTGAAGAACGGCACAAAAGGGAAAGACTGTGGTATTACAAAAATCAGGAGAAAACAGCCTTAGTGCTCCATGGTTTTGACATCTTGTGAGTGTTGAACTTAGAAGTTGAAGGAGACTGCAGCCTGGTCTCTCATTTACCTGATCCTAGCTATTCTGCTGTCACCTTATTAAAGATATGATTATTCAAAACTAATTTGTATTTGGTAAAACATTGCTAGGTCCTCCCAAGACAGAAGTGCAAATCTCCTGTCTAGACATGGGTTTTGAAAGCCCTAACTAGTCTGGCTAATGAGGAACACTGTAATATCATACCTTCCCTACCTGCTGAGAGGAAGGAGTTAAGTATCATGCTAGTAAAGGAATCCCAATCATTCTTTTGCAGCTGCTTTGGACTTGCAGATCTGCTTCCTGCTCTTGTGGGAATTTGGTCCTGCATGCTAAAGTGTTTTTGCTATTTGTTTGAGGAAAAGTTTTATCACCAGTACTCTCTTGTCTCCAAGATTTTGCTCTGGCTGTCACGGCTGTAAGATGAGCCCTTCAGTTTTTATATATTTAGCCTCACAAATCCTCTTTGAACTAGCAAAAAGGAGAGAATTAAGGACCAGCTAGAAGGAAGTGTCTTGCCTGAGGTCATCTGGGCTGCTTGTGGCATAGAAGAACTGGAATCTTTCACAGAGGGTAGGACTAAAGTCATTAACCTATTCTCTCTTTCCCCAAGTACAGGAAACAATGCAATCATTCTCAAAATACTCTTTTAATCTTTTCTTTTTTTTTTTTTTTTTTTTTTAAGGGAAGAGAAAGTAGAGAGTTTTTTCTATGCCCATTCAATGGTTTCACATCAGTCTATCCTGCTGTGGAAAGCTTCTTTGTGATGTTAAATGAGATTCACATTATTCTTCCCAGTATCTTTGTTGTCTGCAGGGTATAACAAGCAGCGAAGCTCAAGGGAATCGCATCAATTTTTATTCTGAGTCTGGCTGACAAAGATATGAACACTTAATTAAGATTTCTTTCATCTCATGAAAATAGCCCTGAGGATCTGAGCCTGACATGAGAGCTGCCATGATCCAAGCAAAGGCAAAGTGTCCAACTGCAAGATCTTAGCTGGAACACTTGCCCTCACAAACCACTTGGACTGAGAGTGGGATCTAGGTGTTTCCAAATTGATGTCCAAGCTCGGGGAAGTGGCTCTGGCTTTCACTTCTGACTCATTCTAGTACTGTGAATTCCTGTTTCACACAGGGACAGACCAACAGGAGAGAGAGTCTCTGAGCTCCACAGAACAATGTAATCAGTTCAGGCATGCATGCAGCAGGAACAGTTGGCTTAGGCTTCCCAATGTGCCATCTGTGAGGAAACTGATTTTTTAAATGACTGATTACAAAAAAATGCACATTCTTTCTCTATTTATTTACATGGATGCATGTATATTGATTAAAATTAGTCCCTTTTTGCTACATTAAATCAGAGTGTTGATAATTAAGGCATCTGTGCACAGGGCTGAGAACATTAGGAGCACTAGAGAAACAAACAATAGTTTATAATAGGATCATTACAGCAGTCTTAGCAGCACTTACAACATGTTTATTCAAAAATGAAATATGCCCTAAGGAAGAAAAACACCAATTACGGAACACTGGGGATTTAAAATAAAAAGGTCAGTTTTAAAGCCTTTAAGTAAATAATATCAAACAACTCAGCAACAGCTCATGTTTAAAAATAGGCTAAGCAGCTAAAACAATAAAATGTGTTAACTGTAGGATCTGGAATATATCAAAAGGACAAGCACAGTCACTATCATTACCTTCTCATTGTTCAGGGTGAAAAAGCTCAGTATTAATACTGACACACATCTTGGTGTATATATGCATGGCAAATATTTACGGTTTTGTGAGTGTCTCAAACTGATTGTACGCTGCCAAGAAGAATATACTTGCAGCTTTACATAAAGGAGTAAAATAAACAGTGCGTTTCTGTATCAACAGCTCAGGTCTGCAGAAACCCTTGGGTCAGGGGAAGTTTATGGGTCCTGCTCCATGTGGGAACAGGAGACTGCGTGTCTAAGTGGTGGGGACACCACTTTGTATGTGTGGTACACATACAAAGGTAGCACTTGGACTCATACATGTTATTTCTAATTAACATGTGCATTAACATGGACAGCAACTGCAGGTTTCAGTGGGACATCAACAGGGCCTTGGACTCACCAACAAAGTAAAGCACCTTTGTGGACTGAATTTCACCTCTTCTATTTTCCCTGTTATGAACTATGCTCTTAGTATAATCTTATTATTTAATCCAAGGAATTAACGCAAAAGAATAGCAAAAGAATAGCAAACCTTCTACAGCACTGGCTGAATTTCAGTGAAAGCTGGGGGATGTCAGCAGTACCTCAAAGCTTCAGGCTCTCCTCAGGTGTTGTGGTTTAGGAATGGTACTCCCCAATTAAGTGCCCCCACCGCGGCTCTCCAAAAACTGCACTCTGTGCTCTTTCTCTCTCTTCCCCTTCCTGCTTTGGTGGGATGGAATTGAGAATTAGAGGTACAAAATGCAAAGATCATGGGTTGAGAAAAGAACAATTTACTGGAAACAGCAACAAGATAAGAAAACTAACAGGAATAGTAACAATAGTAATAACAGAGAGTATATGAAAAGAAACTATTCATAATAAAAAAAAATTCTCATTTCATGAAAGTAAGATTGCCTTTCCCTTGCAACGAGCCCCTTTTCCTGAAAGGGAGAGTCCCTTTTCCCTGCCCCCAGCAATGCCACGAGGTGGTACAGAATAACCTGTAAGGAGGTACAGAATAACCTCCATATCCTGACCATGCCCCTTCCAGGCTACTGCAAAAAATGAAACCTGTCCCGGCCCAAACCAGGACCAGGAGACATTACTCCTGTTTTTTATTTTGGAATTAAAGGTTGCCCCATAATCACAGAATCAATTTGGTTGGAAAAGACCTGTCAGATCATCGAGTCCAGCCCATGACCAAAAACCACCATGTCAACTAAACCACAGCACTAAGTACAATCTTTCCTTAAACACCTCCAAGGGATGATGACTCCACCACCTCCCTGGGCAGCCCATTCCAATATCTAATGACTCTTTCTGTGAGGAAGTTGCTCCTGATGTCCAGTCTAAACCTCCCCTGGCACAGTCTGAGGTCGTGTCCTCTCATCCTATCTATCACTTGTTGCCTGGGAGAAGAGACCGACCTCCACCTGGCTAAAACCGCCTTTCACGTAGTTGTACAGATCAATAAGGTCATCCCCGAGCTTTCTCTTCTCCAGACTAAACACCCCCAGCTCCCTCAGTCGCTCCTCATAGGACTTTCGCTCCAGACCCTTCCCCAGCTTCACTGCCCTTCTCTGGACACTCTCCAGCACCTCAGTATCTTTCTTGGAGTGAGGGGCCCCAAAGTGGACACAGTACTCGAGGTGCCCCTCACCAGCGCCGAGAACAGAGGGAAACCGCGCTGTCGTTGGACAACAGTTTCACCCCTATGGTTTCGCTGCCTGCACAGCGGCCGAGCCCCGGCTCCTCGGCCCGGTCACCCCACACCGGCGCAGCACGGGTGTAGCACGGCGAGCTGCTCCTCGTGCCCCGGGTGAGCAGGACAGCCCGTGTTCCCGCCGGATCCGCCGCAGGGAGCGGCACCGCCCGAGGGGCTGTGGGATGGGCGGGAGGGACCCAAAATGGCGGACGCAGCCCCGCCTCCGCAGGTGAGCGCGGGGCGGCACTCCGGAGGCCAGTGCGATTGGTCAGCGGTGCCGCCAGTCACCCGTTGCCGCGGCGACGCGGACCCGCCCCGCCACCCGCTCTCGGCTCCTGATTGGCTAGCGCGCGCGGTGACGCGCGCGCGGGGGTTTTACGGCCCCGGGCCTCGGGAATTGCCTGGAGAGGGCGGGTGGTGGGTCGGGCGGACGGAGGTGTCTGTAGTCGCCATGACGTTCAAGCGTAGCCGGGACCGTTTCTACAGCACCCGCTGCTGCGGCTGCTGCCATGTGCGCACCGGGACCATCATTCTGGGCACCTGGTACATGGTGAGTGCCCGGGGCGGGCGAGGGGGGGGCGGCGGTGGGGGGGGGGGGGCGTTCAGCGCGCGCGTGGCCGTCCTGAGGGGCCGGGGTGCTCCCGCTCCCCTTATCCCGGGAGTTGCTCTCTTTTTCGAGGGGCTCCCGCTCCCCTCACCCCGGGAGTTGTTTCCTTTCTCGAGGGGCTGCGGAGCTCTGGCTCCCCCGCCCCCCAGAGAATTGTTCCCTTCCCGAGGAGAAGCTGGACGAGGGGGTTTCCTGGGGTCACCCGGCGGGGCTCGAGTCCCTCTTCCTTCCCTTACCAAACCCGGTTGTCCCTCGGCGGCCTCCCTTGTTGTACTCGGAAAAAGAAAGTAAAGGGAAAGTTCAGAGCGTTGTAATCTGAGTCTCGGAGGGGTTGTGTTAATATTGCCATTCTTATGTTGGAGGGATTGAGACTTTTAAACAGCGCTGAGCGTGTCCTTGGTAAGAGAGGAGAGCTGGGGGAGACTGGAATTTGGGGTGTGTTATAGGAGGATTAGCTGTGGTGCGTAAGCTCGGAGAGGAAGGCCATTGTCTCCAAAATGAGCATTTCTTTTGCTTGTCGAAGAGCTTTCTAACAGGGGAAGTTCCCTATTCTATGCTCTGGTGTTCTCAGCACAGGGGCTGAGAAGCAATGGAAACAAATTTGGCTCCTAAAACATTTCTTTGCTTTCTACCTGGTGAGTTGTTTCTTTCCAAGAGAGAGCGGTGATGATGAAGATGAAACATTAGAGATAGTTCTGAACTAGGGTGAAATAGAAGCGTGAAAGCAGTACCAGCAAGTTAAAGGCCTAGAGCTCTAACTTCCCTTAGTTCCCTCAAACGGAGCTGAGTTACCAACCTGAGTTCCCCTTTATTGAAGTGATTTCTTCATCTTTCCTTCCCCTTACCCTCGCGGGCAGTAAAAATGAGAGGATAGTTTACAAAAGTTGAATCGTAACTTTTCTGTTTTCCTGAAGCTGTAGCCAAAGCCTGTATTGTCCTTTACCCTTCCCCAGACTGTAAAAAAATAGAGAATGCTAAATTTTAACGGGTTGATGTGAAAGAGCCATGCACAGAAACTGCTTTTACAGGCATGGGGATTTGAGTTTGGGGAGTTCATGGTTTATCTTCAGCGAGTATGGGGAGATCCTTTATTTTTATGCATTTTGGTCCTTTGATTCGCAAAAAAATGTAAAGTCAAACAATAAAGTGGCCGGAGAGAGGACTGGAAGTAAAAAAGCAAGGTAGGGGGTTGGAAATGTAACAAAACTCTAGGAAAAGGATATTTCTTTCATTTTCAAGAAGAAATTGGGAAAAAATGTCATGGTGCTGATTAGGTTCTGTTATTAGGTCATTTAAAATAGAAAAATAAATGTTCACTGTAATATTGAGAGTCGGACTTGTTTTGGAAACCTGCAGAACCTCCGGAAGTTTTGCCCCGTGCTGATGGATGGAATTCAAAAATGTGCTTCTGGTACCTCAAGGAGAAGCACAAATCGTTATCAGTAGGGAGACAGTGATCCTTGTTAGAGAACAGAAGCACCTCGCTGCATTCCCCACTTCGTTTCCTGTTCGCGGGAGTGTCTGTGAACCCAGGAACTTGCTGGGGGCGGAGGACAGGGATGTGTTTCCGTGGCCACAGACCTGGTAGTACTTCCAGCTGCTACCTCTCTCTTACTGTGCTTATGTTTCGCCTTGTTGCCTGGCTGCAGCTCCTCTTTGTTCTTTCTGAACGCGTGCTGGGGACGGTGAGAAGTGCGCGGGGGGCCCATGAGGCTGCTGCTCCAGGGACGGATGGGGCTTTGATCTGTGCAACGACTCAGTCTGCTGGAGGGAAAAACAGAGTTGAGTTCAGTGTAGCGGGGGGCACACGAAGTGCTTCAGAGCTGTGTTGTTCTATAAAAAAAGTTTATATAAAATGTATTAAACGCTTTGTTAAACTGTGCATTGAAAATTTTTATCCAGTTCTTCCCAGCTGTGACCTGGGAAGAGGTGAGGACTTTTAAGTCAGACAGCTGTTGGCTGTTTGAGCTGAAATAAGGTCTTTCAATGAAGTCTTATGTGGTCTTACCTAATGCTTTAAATCGGAATTCAACGATAATTTATACCTTTTTGAAGGCAAAATGTACAGTTTGGACAGTGAAAATTAGACTTATCTGTCTGCTCACAAACTTTAAAAAAAATTAAATGGTCAAGAGTATGTCAGGTTGTTTAGAAATTAATGCACCACTTAAATATAGCACTAATGTAGTCTTTCAGATTCTCATGAGAAGTATTTCTAAATCAACTTAATAATCTCTGCTTGTAAGGTACAGTAAGACAAGTAATAATAACTTTCTTTGTAGGGTAGTGTTTTTTGGTTTGTGGGTTGGGTGGTTTTTTTGTTTGTATTTTTTGTATTTTATTGGGGTTGTTTTGAAGGAGGTAGCTTTTTTTGGTGGGGGAGAATGTTTAGTTCAAGAATGGGTTTGTATTACTGAAAATCTTGCTCTTTACTGGATAGATTGGGTTCCCGTGCAGTGCAGGGAATTTGATACCAAACATAAAATGGAGTCTCATAACAATCTACTCCAGATGTTTTACTAAGATAAGAGTTTGTCTACTTAATACATGCATGTTATCTTATGTAACCATTTCAGCATTTCATATTCCTTGCTTATTTGCATACTCTTAAGTCTTGCATCTGATTAAGTTTTCATCTCGCTAAAACAGTTGTGTCACTGTTCTTGTTGAGTGCTTCCGCAAGTCCAGAGAAAACAAGGATATTATCTTCTAAAATGTCTGCTGTTGATGCTGTGTGATCAGTGTCTTAAGCCCGCTTCAGTCCAAGGGCTGCTGCTGTTTGTGATCAGTAAATAACGCTGCAGTTGCAAAGAGATAAGTTAAGGACACTTCCAGTGGAGTCGTACTTGAGATCCAGGACCTGATAGAGCTTGGTTTGCTCCGCAACACCCACTGCTGTTCTGGGTAGGAAGGAGAAAGAAACGTCCTGTTCCTCGCTCCGTAACTGCAAACGTGTGGCTTTGAAGTTTGTTTCTTCCTGTAAACTTTCATATTAGGCACAGTGCTTCCCAGAAACCGGAAGCACGAACACTGCACTGGCAAAAGTGGGATCAGAGTTCAATAAACAGTCTAAAAGCAATAGCATTGTTTTGGAGGGAGGGGCTGGTGCGTTCTGGCAGCAAACTTCAGCGATGGAGGCAGTGATGCAACTGCTGCTGCTCAGCAGGAGGCTGAGGGGGGATCTCTGGAGTCGTTTATTCACTAAACAAGACTTACAGAAATAGGGAATATAACTGGTCCTAATCTAATACTGACAGTGCTAGAGGCTCTGAAGTACCCTATTTAAAATAATTCTTTTTCAGTTTTTATTATTTCAATATAATAAACCAAAACAAATCAGAAACTCCATGTTTTGTTTTTTTTTTTTTATTTGGGAGCAAGTTTAGGGAAAAATATTGCAAAAGTGAAAGGAAAATGAAGTATAGTAGTGCAAGGCAATTTGCCTGTTTTGCCTCATAAAAGGAAATAAGCAAATTATAAGTAGGAGTTTTTGTTTTTTTCAAGTCACTCTGAGTGCTTGGGGAAACCTCGACTTCATGTTCAGGTCTCCTGAGAGAAGCACTTACACGATAAGGCAGTAAGTGTACCCTGTGGAGGTGAAACTCGCTAATTAAAAAGTTAATGCTCTTTAATAGTCCCACTGTCTTTTGAGTTCTAATCATATGGGGAGCTAATATTTCTGTTACCATTGTGTAATAAATGCTGACTTTCTACATGATTACCAGCTTTTTGATTTTTAAATTTCGATACAGGCTACACCAAACTGTGTTAAACTCAGCCATCCCAAATCTAAAATGTAAAATATTACAAAACTACATTAAGGGGTTTTTCATATTAATTGAACCACCTTTTGAGTAAGAGTTTGAACATGCATTTTGCAAATGTTTTTATTATTGTTTTTGATTTCCCAGCAAAAAGGATGAGGATGGGGCCTGCTGGGATTTGAGGTGTTATCTCAGAACATTGCACTGTTCATTGGGTGCTGTCTTGTCAAGGTTGGTGGGATTTTTTGAGGCAGAGGTGGTGGTGGTTTCAATCCTCATCCTTAACTGATGTGTACACAAGTTTTATATTTTTTCTGACTTCTTCTCCATGTAGACATTTGTGAACATACATTTGATTTGCAGTGGGTATATACTTAGAAGCTCTAGTGATGCTTTGCAGTCCAGACCTGGACTGTTACATTGCTTGCTGCCTGTTAAGTTGATTGTTAAGTTGAAACAAGCCGTGTGGTCTTGCTAGTATGAAGCTTCTGTGAAAGGATGGAAGCAGTTAAAATACAGGCTCTGGCTCTGTAGCTGTTAATTGAAATCCATATGTTGAATGTGATTAATTGCTCAGGGCTGTGACAGATTCATAAACAGCAACAATGGAGTACTGGAAACCCTGGGGTGTTAATTGGCAGAGGTTTGGGTTGTTTTTAAGTTACTATTTTTATTCTGTCTCATTGATTCTAATAGATTGTTTTTTGAATTACTATTTTCTGTTTTCCTTTCACATCATTTCAGGTTGAGAAAATTAATCTTTAATACTTTGAACTGTGATCAGGAACTAGCGAAATTACTAAAAACTTTGTATGCTAAATTTGGACTGTGGGTAGGATGAAAAAAAAAGTGACAGATGTGGAATTACAGTCTCAAAATTCCAAAGCATTTGAGTTCTTTGGTACTTCTATAGTAACTCAAGTCCTGCTTGCTCTTTTTCTTTAGGCAGATAGCCTATCATGGCAGTTAAACTTATGACTGTGTGTAAACAATAAATAATTTAGCTATAATTGAACATGTCCTTTTGTGTTTTGTAAAGTAGAGATCAACATTTCAACTGCCCCTTGACACTGGCTTTTTAAAACAAGTTAGAGCAGGAAGGTATTTTCCAACGTATAGTTGGATACCCTCAGCTCTCTCACGGAGAGAGGAGGAAATGGAAGGGTTGAAAATACACTGAGAGCAGAAAGCCACAATACAGAAGGACTAAACAGGTGAGAGATTATAGTGCTCTGTACATGTGACCAGTGGTGAAGCAAAATAAAATATGTAGACAAGTGGCAGATGAGCAACTTGACAGTTTACCCTGCAGTGTCCTGCGAGTGGGAAAATATGCTTGTTTCGAGGCTAAAGATGGTGGTTGAACCTATTTCTTCACTGCCAGCTGCACTAGCTGCTGTATTTTATGTTCCAAGGCATAAAGTGGAGTATGCAAGTGACTCAAAGGAGCTGGAAATTCTAATAAGTTTGTATAATATATGATGAAGTTGCATTTCTACAAAGTGACTAGCTTTGATATCATGAAAGTTGCTTTTAGCAGAAAGTGCAAGCAAGCTTACCACGTTATCTCTAAACATTGGGGGTGGGGGGAAAACCCAAACAATAAAACCATTAGGGGGTAAAAATATAGGAACCGTGAGTCTCAAAAGCTAAAACTTTTAAATGTTTAACAGCTTTTTTCCTTACTGAAAGCTTCAATAATTGTACATAGACTTGCCACTGTTACTATTATTGCCTCCTGGAACCAGGCCAGTAAAAGAAGAAATCCCTGGCAAATATTCTTAAGTTGTGAGAAACTGCAAACCAGTTTGTTTTTTTTTCTTCTGAGGCTAATTGTAAAAGATCCTGCTGGTGGTGGTGACTGTACTGAATACTGATTGGAAAATGTCTGCAGCTCGAAAATACCATCATGGCTTTTTGTGTTACGCAACCTTTGGCACGTCTCTCCAGATATTAGTAACAGAAACTATGCCCCTGTAAGTCTTGAATAGGTTATAAATGCTCTGAAGGCAATTTTACAGAGGCTTAAGCTACTTTTGGTTCTTTGAGCTCTTACTGAAGACATTTCTGGTATGTACCAAAATTGGGTAACAGAAGTAGTCTTCAGTGGCAGTATGAGGGAGGAGAAGGACTGGTGAGCACACAGCCTGTGCTGAATGCTTACACATTTTGGAGTTCAATCTTTATGTGAGGTTTTTCTTCTCCTGTAGTAGCCTTTCTCCTTCGTGTAGCCTTTCTGATAAGGACTGATGAGGTTTTAATAAATTCTCTAGGAAGGGGAGGGAGATGGTTCTCCCCAGCTTCTATAAAGGCTGTAACGTGGCAGAAACTTAGTACTTTATTTGTGGGTTAAATTAACTCAATTTGTGACAGAAAGTGGAAACTTTCCAAATGTGTCGTCTTGTGTCTGCTGTACCTTTACCTTCCTGGCCTCTTCTAATTATTATTATAATAATATTATTAATTATGTCATTTGAATCCCTACAAACATTATCCATCCCCTTAATTTGTAAAGTTATTCTGTTGTGATTCTTTAAACCTAACAAGTGTCTGGTGCTCTTCTGGTTGTTTTGGTAGAGGTTTAACTAAATCAGCTTGAAATTTAATTGTAAGTTGTGCTCTCTTTTTTTTCTTCCACATATAGGCAAAGCAAAGAGTGTAGTTCTAACTGAAATAAAGGATTATTAGTGTGTCATTAAGATGATCCTAGTTGTTGCAATGCAAATAACCTTGAGGTAACTGTGATCTCTCTCAGGTGGTGAACTTGCTGATGGGCATCTTGTTGACAGTAGAAGTGACTCATCCAAATATAGTGCCAACAGTTGATATCCAGTATGAAGTCATTGGAAATTACTATGCTTCCGAGAGAATGGCTGGTAGGTCCATAACTCAACTGGCTGAGCAGAAAATAAAGCAGTGTTGTGGTGGATTTGCCTTACACTAGTGTGTAATATATGCATAGAGCTTTTAAATGTGATTGTCTTGTTTTCTGAACTTCTCCTAAATTATTCTGGGACTGAGTTCTTCTACAAGAATAAAAAGAACTTCATGGAATGTTATTTTTACTTCATATTATGCCTAAGCCTCTCAGATGATAAGATTGCTGAAGATTTCTTGGCCATATAATGCTTTGACTCTTGAAGTATGTCTCTATATCTAACTACATATCTAACACATATATGTCTACATATCTAACTTGCTTTCTTCGTGAACATTTACTATCTTTGCTGTCTCAGTAAAACAGCAGAAAACAGTTTTAAAGACTTTCTTTGAGAATTTTTCTTGATCTCTGTAGATTTAAGGAAAGAGCTTAGAGCTGTTCTGTATGACTTTCCTAAAAGGAAAACCATGCTGTCTTTCTAAGAAAAGTGGAAGAATTGGGACACAAAGTATTGGAGTAAAACCAAAGTATTTCTTTAAGTTTGACCTGCAGAAGAAATGAAACAGAAAGCATCATGAGAAGAATTAAGCCTACTTTTCACTCTGTTATTGAGTGTATGATGTGTACAAGTGTAATTGGTGTCAAGCTTTTTGTCTGTAATGACCAAGCTTTTTAACTATCATATCTGTAAACTTGTGCATATATTTTGCTTCTCTTCTTTTTAAATGTGCAGAAATATGTTTAGTGTTGCACTTCTAAGGTGCCTTGTCTTAGTCTGTTGTATTATATGGAAATTTAGGGAGGGTTAGATCCAGTGGAGCAAAGGATAAACAGTGCAGCACAAATGTGGGTTTTGAGCGTTTTGTGTTAAATCTTCGTGACCTGAGTTGAGGATCTGTGAGTTCTGACCTGTGACCATAACTCACATTTATTAGTAATGAAATGAGAGTGGGAGAAAGGACCAAATGCCTCATAAAGCCAAGATATTAAGTAAAGTTACAGCAGATGTCTGTAAAATGTCCTATGTTCTGTAATGAATGTTGATATACTTGGTAGCCTTAAGCTTATATGAATGAAAGATGCATCTGAAGCTGAAGGTTCTTCACTCTTTAGTGTAAAATGTCTGTCACATGCTTTTAGCTTAGAGATTCTTATTTCCCATGTTGTCATCTGGGCTAGAGGGTTTTATGTGCATGAAGAAATATTACAGGTTTTATTGTGCATGTGAATATTGAGAGTAATAAATTCTCAGAAGAAAACCACACTTGTTGGTGACTGCTGAGACTTAGGTCTGATCAACACAGTGCATTTCAGACGGGGGGGGGGGAGGGGGGGCTCTTTCTTGATGCAGTCTATGTATGTAGATATTATCTTGTACTGAATTAGATATATAAGTACTTCTATAGTGTCTTATCAAATCAATTTCAGACTAGAAAGTATTCTCAGGTCATCTCTTTTCCAAGCATGAGAACCAAAAAAGTTTGGCTTCAATATAGGTAAAAAACATTCATTTACCACATCTGTAGACTCTCAAACTGGTTCCTTTCTCTGTGTTTAAAAAAGCAGAAAAGTATAATCTAACTCGTGGAAAGCAGCTGTGCTTCTGTCATCAGTAACTGTGATGCACAAGGAGAATCTTTATCATGCAGTTTCCACGAGTGTCCTGGATTTTCCTACAAATTGGCTTCTGTTCAACTGCCTTTTCTTGTAAATAATGGGATACCTTCCACACAGTGATTTCCTGTTTTCTTTAGTGTTACTGAAGGAGCAGCGCTGCTCCCGCTGCCAATGACCGAATTACATAACCAAGCCATTTTCAAGTATAAAGGTTGATACTGGGTTAGCTTCACTTAAAATTCTTTCCATTTGTAAAGTTATTTACTCACATACTTTCAGCACTGACACATGTTGGAAATCAGCATTATTATGGTGCATTACTATCAAACTATGTCAGGCTTGTAATTGGTGTGTCTGAGCTTTAGTCAGGCTTCTGATTAAGGCAGAGGGATTTTTCCAAATACTTTTCGGTTTTATTGAACCAGATCTCTTTCTGTTAGGTGAGATCTGAGCTACTGTATTCTGCTGCTGCTAGTTTGCACAGATGAACTAGTTGAGAACAGATCATAGTAATGGACAGAGCTGAGGTACCTGTCAGCTGCAGTGAGACAACTCCAGGAAATTACTGATGCTTATTGTTTTTCTTTTAATGCAGAAAATGCCTGTGTTTTGTTTGCCATCTCCCTCCTCATGTTCACAATCAGTGCAATGATGGTGTATGGTGCCATTGCTGTAAGTATATTTACAGTCCTGTTTTTAAACTTGCTACTTGAATTTTTAACTAAATAACTTACAGGCTGCTGGTTTTTTCTGTTTCTTCTTAGCATCGTGTAGGCTGGCTGATCCCATTTTTCTGTTACCAACTCTTTGACTTTGTGCTCAGTTGTCTGGTTGCCATCAGCTCTCTAACCTACTTGCCCAGAATCAAGGATTACCTGGATCAGTTGGTAAGTGTTCAGCTCAAGTCGATATTTTACATTTGAAATTCAGGTTTGGTTTAATTGGATCAGTGACTGAGCTACAGTTCCCTTCCCGTGCATAAGAAAGAGGAATTCAGCCTGCAGCAGCCATGGGTGGTTATGAGAACGGGAGCTTATCAGAGATGGAAGGGCCAAAGGTATCATTGCTAAAGGAAAGCCAGGGAGAATAAAAAAAGAATTGTGATGGGAATTGCTGGTTTAAATTGTGTTGGCTACAACTGGACTTGAAAGGGTGTTTGTAACCCTTTAAGCAATGGGACTCTATGGCAAATTTACTGCAGATTAAAATGTACTGGCCTTTATTTGGTAAAGAAGGGGAGGAAAGGTGTAGGAAAGGTCCTGCAGCATTATGGGATGGAATCTGAGATTGAGGTTTTCTTTTTACATTCTGTGTGGCTCTTATTTTGCAACAATACTTTCTAAGGAAACTGAATGGAGTTCTCATTAACACTGCCTGTAATTTAACTGCAAGAAGACTCAGTGGATAAAATGCACTGTCAGTTAACAGAGAGCACAAACTCTTTCTGGCTGGTGTTTAGATCTGATCAAGCAGATGTTTAAAAAAGTAATTTTTAAAACAAAGTTGGATTGGTGTTTGTTACTGTAGTCAGGGAAAGTGAAGTCTGAAGTTTGAAGAAGCTCTCTGTTTGACTCTTCTGAAGTTTGGGGACAACTTTTTACCTTTTTGCTCTGCACACATGTATGTTACAGGTTGGACTGCCATGAGGTAATTAATACCAAGTTATTAAAGAGTTGTAGAGGACCACAAGTACAAATTCTGTGCTGGAGCTGTGTAAAAGGAAGTTTTGTGGATATCTTTATTAGCATGAGACTGATAATGTGACTATGGGCACGGACAGTGCTGTAGTGACCCGTTCTTGCAGGATAGAGGCAGGATAAATGCTGTGCTTTGTGGGAGCATAGAGAAGAAACTAGTGAGAAACAGAACTTTTTGTTTCTGGGGGAGTAGTTTACACAAGAGTTTTTCATTTGGTGTGAAGTTTGGATGTTTTTCTATCATATTTGACTGTGCAGTGTTCATTCTTATCTTCTCCCTTTCTCTCCCTTCCCCTTTTTTTTTTTTTTTTTGACTAGCCGGATTTCCCTTACAAAGATGACCTTCTTTCCTTGGACTCCAGCTGTCTCTTGTTTATTGT